AGCCCTAGGAGGCACTGGGAGAACGTTGCAGGGTTTCCTAGGCCAAAGTCCTATCCACGCAAAGCTGACTTGAACAATCCTGAAATGTATTGGACCCGTCCCCCGGGTCCAATACATTTCACGATCCCCGCCTGCCAGGGCAGCTGCCGGCTAGTCGAAGATACCAAGTACCATCGAGCCAGCTCAAGGCAAACCCATGTGCAGGATCTGGCGTGATCCTGCCCGAACTGACCCAAGCTTTCGTGGTTCTGGTTGACGTCGTGCCACAGGGTCGCCGGCAACCGTGCCTGGGCCGATTAATGTATTGGACCCGCCCACGGGTCCAATACATTCTGGACGGGCGGGGATTCTTCCAGGAACATGCTGTGGTACTGCTGGGCTACGGACAGCACGAACCCCATAGGATCCTGAAATCTCCTAGAAGACCCGACACGCCGACTAATGTATTGGACCCGTCCCACGGGTCCAATACATTTCGCTTGCACGGGGATTCCCCGGGAGCACCGCCCAAACCGCGGCAGGGGATGGTTTACATCACCCAACAAAAGCATACAAAGCCCTGGTTTCAGAAGCAGCACTACTTTGTACGTCACCCAACAAAAGTATACAAATCCGAAGCAGCATTTCTGTGTGGGTGTGTGTACGTTTCCCCGCCTGCAGAGATGTCCAGCGCTGTCTCCATATCCAAGCCACCACGTCTTGGAACTCGGTCGACCACAGAGCGGCAAGGCAGTCCTGGCAGATTTCACGAGGCATTTCAGGAAGGAATTCAAAATGATTTGAGGGGGATACAAGGTACGGCTCCTTGGGCACCGCAGCCCTCTGTGTCAGGAGACGGAAAGCATCGAGGCCACCAGCAGACGAAATCGCACCGATCTCAGACACAGAGACGATCCAGTACTGGTCTTGTGCCTCCCAAGGAAGCCTCACAACAGCTCCAACGAAGTCAAAATCATGTAAGATCTACGCACAAACAAACCTGCCGCACAAACCAACCACTTTTATACGGGAGCAATTAGAAACGGCGTTTTTATTAGCTTGTTGCCGTCGTCTTTGCGCCAAACCCGTAGGCCGTGGGTTACACTTCATGCATTTCTTGCTCCTTCTGAGCACTCGAACCACCTGATATGTGGTTTGAGTGGGTGTACATCTGCACCGTGCGTCACTGCTGAGTCTTGTTGACCCCTTACAGGAGGACAAGGCCCGAGCATCATGAGCATCAGCCCCCCCCCCCCTCCCCGGCCCCGCTCCGTGTTCAATATCCAAACAAGAAGTTCTCACAGCTTTGATTGGAAACTCTTGCTTGTGTGTACACTACAACCAGCGCTTCGGATGCATAGGGATGCCTGGCGTGCAAACACAAGAGGCTTTAAGCGAAGACTCGACACCCGAGAAGACCAGCTCAGTCCCAGGCGAGTAAACTGAATAGCGATCGGCATGCCCCTCATAGCCGTAATGATCATGAGGCAGCCCGGCCATGTTGAAGATTTCGTTCCCCGCATGTTGCAGTACACAGGCAGGAATCTCCCCAGCCTGCCAGGCAACAGGCCAAGGTGCCGCCTTCTCTCCCCGCAACATCTACTAGCACAGCCTCCATCTTCGGCGACTTAAGCGATGCCTCACAACGCAGACACACATGTCGCACCCTGGAAGCACCGAGGTTTGTGGCACGGCAGCGAAGGCCTCCACCTTCGATACACAAGCAGGAATCTCCCCAGCCTGCCAGGCAACAGGCCAAGGTGCCACCTCCTCTCCCCGCAACATCTACTAGCACAGCCTCCATCTTCGGCGACTTCGGCGATGCCTCACAACGCAGACACACATGTCGCACCCTGGAAGCACCGAGGTCTGTGACACGGCAGCGAAGGCCTCTACCTTCGAGTCGGGTCGACGGGCTTCTGGATCCATTGCCTTGTTTGCTGAACGGGACAGCAGCATTTGCAAGCCAGGGTCAGCGTCCGACGAGCACACGTTGCCTACCCCGATCAATGAAGGTTTATGGCTTAGGGATGCTGATATTCTTCATTAGGGTGTCAGAGGATGAGTACAAACCGGCATCGCGAATCTCGGAACATTCTTGAAGGTCTTCAGCAGGCACAGCACAACACGTGCGAGGCTGCTAGATCATACCGCCAACATCCGCCAACCGCCCGCCTCGAGAGGTACGACCAGCATCTGCTGTTCAGAGACCTTGCGAGCAGGCAGGAATTACAAGAAGCAGCAGAGCTTGAGCAGTCGGCACCTAGTGCGAAGCAACAGCAGCAAGCAACGAATCACAGCAGTAGCACCACCACACGAGTCAGTCTCGGGCTCGACCCTAGCACAGAGCAGCTCACATGTGAACCTTTTGAAACCTCTCGCGATCCCCGGTGCTGATTGAGACAAAGTCCATGACACTTCCCCGTGTCAGGATAGAATGCCCGGAATCAGTTCTTCTGCACACGGCTGTGACCACTGCTGCGACCCGTCGGCCTCGCTGTCGTCTTATGCAACGGCGTGTAAGGCGCTGAGCGGGTCTTTCGAGGAGGTGTCGCTTTGGTGCCAGATATGTCCGTCGCCGTGCGTCTGCTCGGATGCGATTGTGTCATGACTGGCTCCTGCCCGATGCTTCTGCCCTCTAGGGCCAGGACACGATCCAAAGGACTCCAGGAAACAACGCGGTGGGGCATGTCCGGAGGAAATGCCAGGTCTCTTGCGACTGGCTTCTTCCAGGTGATTCTGTCCTCTGGCTCTGGGGTCAAGACACGATCTAAAGGACTCCAGGAGATGACACGGTCGGGCATGTCGGACAACAACGAAGCTGAGCCTGATGCCTTGGCATCCACCTTTTGTGGCGGTGCAAAGGGGATCAATGCTCTGGCTTGACCCTCCGCGAGGATCACGGCCGTGATCTTGCAGTCACCCGGTGACTCCGCCGACTCCCGGTTCACCGGGCTGGCGATCGCCGTCGCTGTCTTCGACGACCACGAGTCCATAGCAGGCAACTGCAACACCAGAAGATACCGCAAGTGCGCAACAGAGGTCTGAGCCCAAGTCGTGCAGCCATACCACTCAGAAAAGAAACAGGTCAAGGCAGCCGAGCACAGACCCAAGAAGGAAGGATCAAGCTGAGCATCGAGCGGCCACACGATCACCATGATCACCGTGATCACCATGATCACCGTGATCAGCCGATAGGACCTGAGGGCTAAGGTCTATGTTTCATAGGCTCACACGGGGACCCTTGGAGCCCAACCTTGTCTTCAACCGCGGCACCACCGGCCTCAAGGGAGCAGCAATGGCACACCGGCACATAGGAACCCACGCAACCAAATCCTTGCAACTTCAGAACACCCGAGGACCCAGCAGTATCCGAAGCACCAGGAGCCTCGAGGATCGGCTCAAGGACGGGCACCATCGGCTCCAAAGCCTCGTCGGACCCAGTTAGAACACAACTGACAAAGGCCGATGTCCAGGCAAGCCTCCAGAGGCACTGGTGACAGATGCGACACCTGCGCCAGGGAGCAAGAGGAAGAAGGACGAGGCCCATGCCAAGTTCAAGGTATCCAAGCCCCAGGCCGTCGAAGCAGGATGTGTGGAGACCTGACCAGGGCAGCAGTAGGGCAGAGAAGGGGGTCCGGTCAGCCCAAGGTCTGAGCCGACGTCGAAGTAGGATCTGCCGAGACCTGACCGGGTTCGGTGTTTGGGGTTCTAGGGTTCAGGGTTTGGGCTGTGGGGTTCCTGGATGGTTGGGGCATGGGGGTTTGGGTGTTCGGAGTTGGGAATGGTTGGGGCTTCGGGGTTTAGGGCTTGGGCTTTCAAGCTACGGCTTGGGGGCTTGGACCAAACCCCAAAAGATCTAGCCCAAAGCCCCAAACAAAAGAGTGGTTCCCGCAGATATCCCACACACGCAACCGAATCCTTGCCCGCTGTTTCGACCTCAGAAACCAGATGCCGCAAAGTGAAACTCACCCCTCAGATGCCGCAAAGTGAAACTCAGAGTGTTGTGCTGCTCTTTGCTGCTGTGCTGCGCTAGTGCGACTCCTGTGTCTGTGTGGCTGTGTGTGTGTGTGTTGTGTTGTGCATTTCGCCCTAGCCAGTAAAGTCCAGTATACAAACCATTAGCCCGGCCTATGCCTAGGTTATGTATATGATCTAGGTCCTGAAACTGATTGTTGCTGTGTGTTGCTGTGCTGCGCCCTGCATCTACGGCTCATCAACATCGCTGCCAACACCTTCTTCACGTCTGATGACGACAGCGATCGCCAGAGCCTTCCATTCCCTGCTGTCGCAGCCCTTGTCCTCCGCCGCTGCCACCGCGTCACTCAACGTGTTGTTGCCGCTCAGTGTCATCGAGTTGATCTCCGAGCCGTCCTCGCGGATGCAATTGACCTCGTAAAACTGAAGCCGTCGATGCCCCTCGTTGTAGTGCAATCCGCGAACCCATGGCATGACCTTCGTAGCCTCCGGCTCCTTCTTCATGGCCTTCCTCGCTTTCGTTGCCTTGGGCTTGCCCTTCTTCATGGCCTTCATCGCTTTCATTGCCTTGGACTGGCCCTTCTTCATGACGGTCTTCATGGCCTTCATCGCTGTCGTTGTCTTCATGGCCTTCATGGCTTTCCCTGCCTTCGCTCTTGCAGCTGGACGCTTCATGGCACCCGACGTCTACGCCAGCTGTGCACTCGAAATTGGATCTCCGCTCAACACTGGCCAGGTAAGTGCCCAACCAGGTCAGAAAGCTGCTGGATCTCCGCCAGCACTTGCCAGTGCCCAACCAGGTCAGCAAGGTTTGCTGAATCTCCGCCAGCACTAGCCAAGATTGCTGGATGTTCTCCCAACACTAGCCAGGTCAGCGATGGCACTACGCAGAATAAGACACGACCGCTAAGCTGAATATTAGGACCCATCACGGACAGTGCATGGCCATGTTCTGCTATCGGTTTCGCACTGCTGCAGCCTTCATTGCCCACATGGTTTGACGTCTCTGAACTATTGAGCACAGCAGAAAAGGCCAACGTCGCTCAATGCCAATCAACTGATCTATAGCACAGCACTTCAATCGCAAACTGATCCCGCACAGCACTGCTCTCAGAGTCCGAATGCATCCCGCGAAAACCCGTTGCCTCGCTCTGCTCCTCACCCGCAGGAGAATCCATGGCCTGGGAGAAAAGGGGGCCAGGACTCGCAGCATCACCCAAGGCAGCGACTACAACCAAAGCGCACACAAAGGCAAGGATGTCCAAGGCCAGGACAGCAAGCACAAGCCCAGCAGACGAGGAGGCACCTTTGACCTGGGCAAGACAACTCGTCGTAATAACATCACCACCGGATCCCAACGCTTGCTGGTCCATCCAAAACCGTGGCCTCATCAGCCCCAGCATGCGAACCAGATGGAGCCTCAGGGCATCGTGTGTGTCAGTGGTGGGTATTTCAAAGCATAGAACCAGACCTCTAAGGAAATGGCCGGAGCCACGGCACCAGATGCTGCAGCTTCATCCTGCAGCAGCTCCGACTTCTCCCAATTGACAGGTGGCGCAGCTAAAGTCGGGGGCCCAACCGATTTCGCCGGCATTGATGGTCCCAAGTCCGCCTGGATGAAAAGAGCAAGCAAGCGAAGAGCTGGTGTAGCAACCAAACCCCAAACCACCCAAATCCCAAACCCATGGCTAGCAAAGCCCGGGAAATCCCAAACCCAACTTCCAACCCCACCTCCTCCGCTTCGCCATCCACAGGACTATGTCGGGCGGCGTGCTCTTTCAAGCCCTTTGGCACCTGGCTCATGTTTTGGGTTTTCAAATGTTTCGAACCAAGTGGCCAGGGGCCCGGCATGGTTGACGTTTTCCTGATCTGCCCACTTGTTCGCCTGGTACGCATTGCTACGCTATTTTGCGGGTGCAGGGGAGAATGAGTGCATGGATTCCCGGTGCCTGAATCACCGACTTGATGGTGGGAGACGCGATGCCCTTCTTCTCATCGACAAAGCTGAAGGTAACTGGGCGGTCGGCTAAAACCGTCCCCCAATAAACCCTCGGGTGATGAAGCCTCGATACAAATCTGAGCTAAGTGCATTCTCGACGAGTCCCACCATAGCTCTTAAATCTACGGGACCATGGCATCACACGTAATGAACGCTTTCTGGTTCTGTAATGTTTTGGTGCTCACGACCTGAAATGTCTGTCTGTCTTCCGATGCCTTGCTCCCCGATGCCGCGTGCGATGTGAACAAGTCTGGTCCCCCTGCAGGGGGCTCGACAACAAAAAATCCTGGCATGTGTGGATATCTGTGGCATGCAGTCTACAAGGCAAAATGCCTGCACCGACACAGCAGGAGAACATGATAGAACATGCAATCGCTTCCGAACTTGACATGCAAAAGCTCCTTCCGTCTCAGGCTCTCTCTCTCCCGCTTTGTCCAAGACCTGCACTTAGCTTCTGAGGTATATCGAAACACCGACTGACCGATGACAGCTCAATAAGAAGCGACATAGCAGACCACCCCCCAATACATTATCCCTCTCGTTGATCCCTAGGGACCCCACAGAACAATGTATTGGAGCCCCCCCCGTGCCCCCCACCGGCAATACATTAGATAAGTAGGGGGGATGGCGGCGGGGCTCGTTGGACCCGGAGCCGGAGCAAAGTTCGGAGGAACTGCTGACACTCGTCGCTCCAGCGCCCCCCGACTTCAGCAGCGAGGACAACGAGTCGTTGAGGCCCGCCTCGGGTGAGCTCCGGGTAGCGCGCGAGTTTGCGTCGTCGCGCCGCAGCAAGTGCGACTCCCGCCCGCGCGTCAGTCCTGATTCTGAATCCACTACAGCCCCCAAAGACTTCAGAAAGGTATTTGACAATAACAACGGCGTCGGGCCTTCTACAATGGCTTTTTTTACCCACGCAAGCCCACGGGGCGACCAGCACGGGTAAGTGGGGACACCAGCGTGGCATCGCAGCACAAAGCCTCGCCATGAGTCGTCGCTCCGTAAACAACGAAGTCGAGGCGGCGACAGTCGTCGGCGTGGACTTGCGGCGCAGTAGTGCGCGCAAGCCACTGCTGCGGGACAACCCGACCTTCCGGGCCAACAGCCTCGCGAGCGACCTGCACCCAGGCTCGCTCGACAACGAACCCGCGTCTTGGCAACAAGCCGGTCCGGGGGCAGGCGAGGTGGTGTGTCGCCGTAGGCATCGACTTCAGCTCCACAGCCGTGGCGGCCTTCCGCGCCGCAGTGCCGGCCGGTTATGGGCAAGCGCAGCCGCAGGCGACGCCTCAGCGCTAGGTGCATGAAGTCGGGCGTGAGTGTAGTCGCCGCATCAGAAGGGATGGCCGCCAGCCACATTCCCGCATGCGGACCGGACTGGGAGTGAAGGAGGCCCGAGCTGAAGGAGTCAAGGCTGGGAGCAAGTCGCGGTCTCGAAAGGAAGTGTGAAGTGCCAGAGCCGCTTGTCGCTGCCAGCCGGGCCCTCCAAGCCCTAGCTCGCCGTCAGTTGTTGGGGCCACGGCGCCTTGAACGCAGGCAGCCCACTCCGGTCTACGCGCCCAGGCAACGCCATTGAGTTGGCGTGCTGCGTCGGCGACTGCACGCAGGCACGGCGACACCGGCTCGCCCTCGAGTTCGCGCACGAGCCGGTCACCGGTCTGCTGGGTCGGGGTATCGTTGGCGCAACACCGGGAGTGCATCTGCCCACGCCGCCCAGTAAGCAGCCGGCGACACCCGCTCAGCCGCGAAGAGGCCGAGCCCCCCGAGACTCGGCGGCAGAAATACGACCTGGCGAGCAGCTGCCCCGACCGCATCGTCATGAGCGCGAGCATACGGAAGTATGTCTGCAGGAGGGACGTTTCGGAGCAGATGCTGCGCTCGAGGCGCGGCGCAGTAAGCGAGCAAGAGCCAGGCGCTCTGCAGATCGGGGAGGTGCCGGAGCTTGCTGAGCAGATCGGTCTCAGCTTCAAGGCGGTCGGCGGCTTGGGTTTTAACGAAGTCGGGGTGACCGATGGGCACGCCAAGAGCGAGGAAGCCACACTGCGCCGGGGGCAGGTTGCCACACCACACATCTGGGCCCAAAGCTTCGATGCCGGGTGGCGCGTCCCCGGCGGCGGCGTTGTAGACTCGCGTCTTGCCGAGGTTTGCCTCGACCCCCGGCGCCTCGCTCCACCTCCTGGGTGACGATGCGCAGCAGTGGCGCGGCACGCTCCGGTATGGTGACGACGTAGAGGTCGTCCAGGAACGCAGCAAGGCGCTCATCGGGCCGCAGAGAAGCACTCGCGGCAACCAGCGAATCGTGCTGACCAAGCGCATATAGCCCCGGTGCGAGGGGGTCTCCCTGCTCGACTCCCTCGGCTTGCGCGATTTCGTGCACTCGCCCATCGCTGTCCCACCACAGGTAAGTGGAGGTGCGCGCGTACATGGCTCGGGCAAATGGCACGAGCGGCGGGACGGTGTCGCGCAGCTTGGCGAGTATAGTCGCGCGGCTGATATCGGCTGATTGTATCGTAAGCACTGCGCCCGTCGAGGGAAACGACAGTGGTCCTGGACTGACAGCGGCACGAAGCATCGCCGCCAAGTTGTCCGTTCCTGCGCGAGTCTGCAGGGCGAACTGGAACGGCCGGGTGGCAGCATCAAGCTTTCCACTGAACGCGCGTGCAAGCGCACGGGAGACGAGACGCCGGAACACGTCCCCGGTGGCGACTCCTCGGACACCCCCGTTTGGTTTACGGAGGGCGGTCAAACGCGAAAGTGCAAGTGCATCGACCGCGATCTGAGGTGCTTACGCGCGGGCGGCGACATTGGCTGCGAAAGCGAAGGCTTCGAGAGCGTCAGCATCATCGAGGAGCAGCTTGTACAGCTCGACCGTTGCACCAAACAGTCCCGCAGCGGAGCCGCGTTTGGAAGTACGCAACGCCTCCCCAACCTGGTACGTCGACAGACGAACTCCCGCAGCAGGTTGGAACTGAAGGACGTCGGGTGCCGGCTCGCGCAGCGGCTCCGGCGCCCCCGGGGGCGACGGCCGCCGCAGTGAGAGTCTGCCGCGCTCGCGACAACTCGCCACGTCTGACTTTGGCACAGGCGGTAGCAGCGCGGGCTTCCTCGCTGTCCACGCCCCCACGCCGGGGCCTGGCTAGTGCGCGGGCGGCGACAGACTGGGCGTGCAACGCCTCGAAGCGGCTCTGACGGAACAGCTCGATCCGGTGGAGAAGCGCTGCACGGCCCTCGGACCCGGATTGAGCGGAGCGCGCGAGGAGCAATCGCGGCAAAAGGAGGAAGAGCTTCCACGCCCGGACTCGCGCTGCCTCATCACGACCTTCCTGTGCAACGCCGATCGCCTCAAGTGCAAGCACGAGTGCATGTCGCACACCAGCGATGAGGAACCGGGGCACAGTTTGGAGGGTGGGAACGGGGTTTCGAAATTCTGCAAGGAGGTCGATATCATCGAGCCAGCGCGCAGCCTCGCGGGTGAGAGCAGCGGCGGTGCTAGCAAGAGCTGTAGGCAGGGCCGCCGCAGTGTCCTCGGCCCCGTCGCTGGCTGAAGCAGCGTGGTCCGCCGCCTGTTCTGGTTTTGGCCAGGCGCCAAAGTGGCCGCGCCCCTGCCTCTGCCGCGGCCGCCACGCCGTCTGCGCGGGGCTCCGGTGACGTGGTGACCGTGTGCGCCTGCTGGTGCTTCGGGGGCAGGTGCGGCCGGCGGCCGCTGCTTGCCGTGGTGGCCCACGCGGTTGGTGGCGAAAGCGGTCGGAGTGGCGATCAACCGCGAAGGCGAGGTCTTCGCCTCCGTAACATTCGAGTAGCGCTTCCTGGACAGGGGCGAGCAGGTAGCCGTCTGACTCACACAACTGGCGGACTGCCAACCCGACATGGACGAGTGCGTTGTTGGGGAGCCCCGCGCGCTCCAAGCGCGAAAGACGGTCCGGCGAATGATGAATCGGTAGCGCGCCTCACCGCGTCCGCGAGCACATAAAGTGCAACTGGGCTGGAGGTAGCCAACTGCCGTCGGACAGGTTCCCATCAGTCAGCAGCGCGCGAGTCACTGCTGCGGGACAACCCGACCATCCGGGCCAACAGCCTCGCGAGCGACCTGCACCCAGGCTCGCTCGACAACGAACCCGCGTCATGGCAACAAGCCGGTCCGGGGGCAGGCGAGGTGGTGTGTCGCCGTAGGCATCGATTTCAGCTCGACAGTTGTGGCGGCTTTCCGCGCCGCAGTGCCGGCCGGTTATGGGCAAGCGCAGCCGCGGGCGACGCCTCAGCGCTAGGTGCATGAGGTCAGGCGTGAGTGTAGTCGCCGCATCAGAATGTGGGAGGCCTCCTCAATTTATACATTGTTTCTTGGGGAAGTAAAGTAACAGGAGCGAAAAAAGTATTTCATAGGGGTTATGGACGTGCCATCCTTGGATCTTCGCTGTTAGTCAAGCCTCCGGAAATGAGGGAATGTATTTCGAAGACGTACGGGCACCGTAGAGTCCGTAGAGGTTATATGGACGTGCCAAAAGTTTCACCCTTGGATGTTCGCTGTTAGCGAAGGAATGTATTTCGGAGACGTTCGGGGTACCCCCCAAAATCCATTAGCTAGGACCGGGTCTGTACAGGAGTAGGATGTAAGCATAATTTCACGCAGCACACTCTATTGCACACGTTCGGTTTCCGAACAGTGCACGTGTGCGTGTGTTTCATGTGTTCTTCTTGGCGAACATTCGATTTCACAACCGGCTCCATGCATCAAAGCTCGAAAAATCGCCACGCCATGAAAATCGTAGAACTTGGTGCGTCCAATGGCCGCGCGCCTGCCATCCGCAAAAAA